CTTAATATGCTGGAGTGACCGTGATAAAAATTGTTAGTCATAACTTTATTTCTGTGTGTATCTTCACACATTTGTTTAAGCAGATACTACACACTATGTCAGAATGTGGCACAACTGGATATACATTGGATTCATATGCCCTTGACACCACCTATGCATCCCCAGTTCCCTTCATCAATTGTTCCTATTACTGGGTAAGTGCTTGGTTTAGATTACAGGAGTTGCCTTATTTTCCATTTTTTGAAATCTTGTACACTGTAAATTGAAAAATGTCTTGAGTAGCACTCCATTTTTATTTTATTTTTTATGTATGAAGATTTAGATTTTTGGGGGGTCTGGGGTGGGCTTTCCATCTATGCCTAAAAATCCACTATACAGTACAGTACTGTACCTTCATCTGGTTGTTTCTATAATCAATCTGACAAGAGAGAGAGAGAGACACTACTGTATGTCTGCAATAAAATATTTTCAAATACATGTACAGTAATTATATTACTGATTAAAATTGCTTTAGAATATAAAGTTAGAGTGTAGGTTATTACAATTTAGTCATTATAATAAATGCTACAGCCAACCTATTAAACTATTTCTCACTGAGTGAACCTGCAATCTCCTCGACATGGATCTGTTAGTGAGAATATATAAATCATATTTAAAAATAACCAAAGAAAAATGTATATTCTGAACATACAGGTATGTTTGACGTATTTATGATGACAAATCATATAATTTTGAAATGCATTTACCAGGTATTCATGCCTCTAGTATAAACTAACACTTCTACAGAAAGAAGCTAAGGTAGGTATTATTCTCCAAAGGATAACATTAAATACTTTCTTTGGTTTTACAGTAATACCAATGTTGGTCTTATGTATATTATAAAAAAATCATACAATACAATTCTTACTTTAACTTTTTGGGTCCTGAAATTAATGACTGTACAGCAAAAGGAAGCTTAAAGACACAGTACAGTACAGTAGTTGGCTCCAGGGTGTACCTTAAGAACATGGTCGAAGGGAAGCTTCCCACTCGGTCTTCACTCTTAAAAGCTGTAATAAATCATTCATAAAAGACACTCAAACTTCAGTGTCCTGCCGTCCTTTTATATCATCCATACAAAACAGCAGTACAAGAATCAATTATGTTATTAATGACAAGTCAAATTAAAGCTTTTTTAAACCAAACGTGCTTTGTAAACTCAAATACAAAAACTTGCAGGTCTTACAGTTTCCTAGTTTCCTTCTATACATCTGCCATTTTTATGTATCATACACAGTACAGTATATAAACAGATTAAATGGTCATATAAAAAAACCACATACCCGGGGCCCTAATAAATTTTGCTAGGTGAAACCGAGTTGCATTTAAATATTTTCATTTCATGGCTACAAATACCTGTGGTTCATTTTTAAGTCTCTCCCCTGAAATTTAATTCTGGACCCAAAGAGTTAAAAGATAACTGGAATGAGGCTGGACCATTAGTTACACTAATGGTAATTAAAAAATGACAGAAGAAAGTTTAATACTTTTAGCATTAACTGAAAGCTAAATACCTGTATGCATGCTCAGTTAGTATAAAAATTCATGGGAAAAATCAAAACAGGAATCATTAATCCCTGGTAGACATATCCTAATTTAAAATGTCCATGTTTTATATTTGCTGAGCATTTTAGTGGAGGCTTCTGGCAACTGCTCTAAGGCAGTGTAGGTGTCTTCCCCAATTAGCAATGGATGGACCATGGCCGAGTCAAGACCTACCACACCTGTGTGGCACCCCATGCAAGAATATGCCGGCTGTAGTAAGGCAACTTCCACAAGCCACATGTCTACCCCTGAGGCTCCATGGGATTGGTAATATTTTCCGGAAATTCAGGGAATCATATGTGTATGTATATATATATATATATATATATATATATATATATATATATATATATATATATATATATATATATATATATATATATATATATATATATATATATATATATATATATATATATATACACACACACACACGATTCCCTGAATTTCCGGAAAATGCCTGATTTTCATTTCTCAAACCCGGAATAAAAAATCCCCCATCCCTAGATTTTTCCAGAAAATGTGCCCTTCAGAAAATTTCAGTTCCGGCTATCGGAGAGTTCCGGTTAACGGAGATATTACTTATAGTACTGAATATACAGTCCCTTTATATCATTTCCATCCAATAGGTAATGACCATGACTTGCCATCACTGTCCTCAAAGGGTTTATGATAGAAACCTGGCTTACATATGCATGCAAAAATGCAGTGAAAAAAAAGTAAATGTAACAAAATCATCCAGCCTGCTTCCATTGTCACAATACATGTGACAGTATGGTATATAACATGACAGTACATTTGAAGAAAAAAAATGCACTGAAATTCTGCTGACCTGTTGTTACCAAGAGGTAGTAAATGTTCACTGTTCAAATAATTTTAGATAAACTAAAGTGTTAACGTCAAATGCAAGAACAGTCATGATATAATATAATGTAGAAAAATTAACATGTTCAGTAGAAACTGATGTAAACTCAATAAACCTTACAAGTTATTTAATACAAGATGTTTGAGTAACAGGAAAAATGAAATTGTTGTACAGGTATTATTCCTCATGAATCATATTTACATCAGTCTATAAAAATATAGTGATAGGTTACATTTCCTTCTTTTTACTTTGTAAGATCTATTTTATTAAAAAAAGGCTTCGCAAAACATATGTGACTTTAATATATGACTTACATTGGTATAATATTAATGCCACATTATGTAACCTATTTCAAGTGGTTAGATTAAGTGATTACTAGGGGGTCTAGGTAAAGTTGTATGATGCTGTTCTATCTCAGTACAGTACCCTAAGAATATTTTATAACTAACATCAAAATTGACTGTTTGAGGAACATTCTGGTAACAAACTCCCATGTGAGTTTCCAGAGTTTATGTGAAACACATAAAGTTTCTTTTATACAATCATTACTCACCTCCCACTTTGATACTGGATATTTTTTTAAAGTAACTATACAAGGGGAATCTCAATGAGATTATAATGAAGTGAACTTCTTCTTTTCTAGTAATTTGTATGAACATTCGCAGGATTTTCCGAGGTGTTAGAAATAGCTGAGCTTCATGCAACCTCTTTCAAACCACCCTAATGCCTCCTAACCAAGTGGAACAAGTTAGACTAGATATCACTTATTATTTTTGTTTAGACTGAAGGTGACAAGTTTGTTTCATAATTACACATACTGGTAAATAAGTCTCCAATATTGCATTCCAGAAAAATTAAATAAGTATGAGTAATAAAGGTTTTCTAATACTTTCCAAAACAATTATGATGCTGTTCTTTCATTTACCCCAATATAAAAGAGAGGGCACACCTGGCTATGTTTGTCATTATATGGCCCCTAAAAAGATGTGTTTCCAGCATAGGGTAGCTGACTGAGAAAAGATTTGGTAGGTTGGAATTTTTTGCTGCTATACATATGTGTTTATATTGCATCTTAACTATTCTCTGCTACAATTTGAAGAATATGTACATATAGTGTACGTATATCTATTTATCTTTTATCCTCTTCAGCGTAAGTATTGAGTGAATCAAGGGGCACAGAAGCTTTAAAAAGAATGGGGAAAATATGAGTAGATAGGTGATGCAAGGTAAATACTGTATAGACAGCAACAAGAGAGGACTGGAACAAGTAGAAATGAAGTGTCCCACATCGTAAGGTGCTGCTTTCAGACCATACAGGCAAAACCCGTTTTTTTTTTTTTTGGAAAGCACTATTTTCGACTTGCTCTATGTGATGGGAGTTGATAAGATATCCTTACTACACTGTAAATACGGTTGAAAGCCCTTTGAAAATAAGGTAGAACATTGACTTGTGGCAGACAGGAAATTATGGACTTGGCTTTAGCATCGTAAGGTGCTCTCATCCCGTCGGTGAGTGCGTGAGAGGAGCAGGCAGCCAACCACAGTGGCCAACCTACAGCCTCCTCCCCCGTCTCGGCCAATGACAGTGAGCGTCTGCTATCTATGTCACGGCCCGTCCAGCGGGCGAGATCTACACTCTGATATCGATTAAAGTAAAAAAAAGTCATAAGCGGGTGAGAGTTTTGTTGCTTCAAGTCAACATTGCAACAACCCAGTACACTACTTCATGATGCAATACCTACCATCTGCAAATACAGTCCTTTAGCTTCAAAATGCATAAAAAGTGAATGCAGTATCTCATAAAACAACAAAGTTATGCATGTTTGAAATTGGAAAAACTTTAAACGCAGTTTTGTATGTTTCAAATTTTGGCGTGAATAACCCATACGATGCGGGGCACCTCAAATATACTTGCTCATCTCCTCAGCTTGTATTCATAGAATATAAAGGAATCCCCAAAGTTAAATTTCAAGAATATTGCATGGCTGAAGATACAAACTTCATTGATTACTTTCTCTGGGATTTTGGTAAGGCAATTTTTATTTTATTTTTTAAATAATGTAGTACCTGTACCATTTCAGTAGCCTTAGTGAAAAGTGAATTTGCGTGTATAAAAATTTACTGTACCACATTAACATGGTATGTATGTATGTTAACATCATTTCTCCAAAAAATAAAAAATAAAATAAAATCAATACAATCTGGGTACCCGGTACTATGGGGGAATTTTGCAATACAGGTATAGGACTTACACATTTAAATTTCAAGGAATAAATGAATTGAGTCCATTACTGTACTGTATTATATACAGATAATTATCACATTGCTGAAGATGCAGGTACAGTATACTGAATAACTCTATGATGACTGTACTGTACTTAAAGATGAGAATATAATTTTAAACTGGGAATTCCAAACTCACTATCAGATGAGTATGTTACTAACACTAACCATAGTATGTGTATATTATACATCAGAACACAGGGGTTGGGAGTAAATGTTATAAGAAGATAAGAAGAATGCCATAATAAAATGATTAAAACTACAAAAATATAAATGTAGTTATTTATCTTATGATAGTGAATTGTACCAGTACAGTATATGTATATAATATATGAATGAGACATTTTAAGAAATGCAATTACAGTAACTGCAGTAATTAACATACTGTAAATTTTTAAATACAGTATATTTTGACTTACATTTCTCTTTTAAAGTGGGTAAAATATTTGAGGTTAAAGGACACTCACAAGTTGTCCTACTGGAAACACATATTTTCAGTCTCATAGACAGGTAAGCCCTTTCACAATACAAAAGCTCAATATTCTGTTTATGTCAATGATCTAGAAAATAAATTGCCACAGACCAATATGTACAAGTCAAGAAAATTACCATCAAAAGTGAGTTCTCTTGGCCAATTCATCTACAGAATATTCAACTTAGAATAATAGGGTAATCAAGGAAATATTTGCACTCTTCCAATTTTCAAAATATTTCTGCATAAAAAAAAAATCAATAGCAAGACTTAGTTATAGATAAAGCTCAGATCAAAAGCAAGAAAAATTCTTACTTTTCTAACAAGTAATTCTATTTCTTGTAAAACAGAGACAAATTTTTCTCTCCTTCACTATTTACTTCACGGTTTGTTTTGAAGTAAGACATTGCCAATCCGGCGACGAAGTAAAGCATACTTGTCTTGAATCTGACATCGGTACTCCTCTTCTTCTCTATCCAGGATACGCAGAAAATTACTTAGTTCTGGTAAGCTGAAGGCTTCCCACTGAAAAAAAATTTGATGAATATTAAAAGGAGGCAGATTGTTCCAACATCAGGGTGGAGAGATGGAGAGAATTAGTAAACAGGGACATATAATCTCAGTTTGGAGAGACTTTCTTTTTTTATTAGGCTTTTTCATATTATGAACTGAAGAACAGTAAGTACTGTATTGTTAATGATTTTTTTATTTATTTATACCTCTAATGCTGTATTACAAAAGTGACTACTGTAATTGTTATAGATAGAAAATGAACACTGATAAAGCAGCCAGGGATAATTTTTTAGCTACAGCGACAGCATTACAATACTATTATCTGCCAATTATAAATTATTCTCATAGTTTTGAGAGGCCATCAGTTTAGCAACTGTAGTGATCTTTCAAGCTAATTGATTCTATAAAGGAGGAGAAGCACCTTTCCCCTGTTAATATCAAGGGCCTGTATCCATTTGCAAGAAGGTATTACTCTTGGTTACAACCCTGCACCTGTTGTAATAACAGCCTCCCTAAGCTATACTATGGTGTTTAGGCCTAGTTCTGCCAGGTGCAAATGGTGTAGTGCAACAGTATTCACGTGGAGCTTCAGCTGATGCATTTACAGTATATCCTAAACCTTCAGTTTCAGCAAGGAAAAATTTAGTCACCTACTCCCTGTATATGATTATTCGTAAAAAAATTAAAGTTAATGGTTACCATTTTTTTATTAGATTACCTCCAAACCCTCAACAATAACTATAGCTTCTGATCTCCTCTTTTAAGGTCAATGATTGTGATGGGAGAGTTGTGCTAATTGTTTAGTTAGTGCCAGCTGTAAATATTTTTCCATTTGCCATTCCAAAGCTCTGGGGTTAGCTTTTTTAATCTATCTGCATCATGATATTCTATCTTCAGCATCCTTCATCATTTTCATCCTGATATTCAGCAAGTTTCTTAACAACTAAGATAATGATGGCTGACATACAGTAATCATTTGTTATACTGTACTTGAGGACTTAATTAATTAAATACATGTAAACTTTATTGAGCAAAATACTGAAAATGAAATATGTATCATAAAGTGCAAGTACCTGTACTACATTAATATGTGTAATGTACAGTACCTGTATATCTGCTGTATCATTTTCTTGTAGGACAAGTCGTTTGTTGGTGAGTCCACCTGCACTCCAATTAAGAGCCAAGACTAGGGGGCACTCTGAGTCACCCAGTCGTCGAAGTTTTGCTGTTTATACACAAACAAGAGGTATTAGAAAAATATTATCATACTTTGCAATGTATCAATACACAAACTATAATACAAGTTGGGTATCCCTTATCCGAAATTCCCAAGTCCGAAATACTCTGAAATCCGAAAGTCTATTTCATTATATTTATGGTAGATAATACACTGAACATGGCATATATCATAATTCTTACTAGGGTAAGTATGTATGTGTAATGAATAAAGGTAAGAAACAGGTTGTTTAGCGCCTCAGAGTCAGACATCCTGGCGATGCCAGACAGACGGTAGTGAGTGCTTACCTTACTGGGTCTTTAGTGTACATACCTGTATTATTAGTGTATCTTATACCTAAAATGATTAAATTATATTTCATAAAACTACCTGCAGAATACTGTGTATGCATCCATATGCTGGGTGAGCTACCCCATTATACAGGTTCGGAATACAGGATATGCGTAGGTATTCCAAAATCCGAAATACGAGACCCTTAAGGCCCCAAGCATTTTGGACACAGGATACCCAAACTGTCTACAGTACAGGGTGTGTTGTGATTAAAAAGTTTATAATATACATACAGTAATACCCCGTTTTACGCGATCAATTGAACCCACGGAGTACCGTGTAAAACGAGAAACGCGTAAATGGAATAACAGAACATATGGGATTAATTGAAATAGAGACTGGGCCGACTCCCAAACTCCACTTTTTCAGACACAATACCTACGTTGTAGTAAAAATAACATCTTAATTTTATGATGGTATGCACACATAATTAATAATTAAGAGAAATATCAATAATATTAGGTTTTTTAACACTTACATTAGTTGAAAAGATGGCTGGGCACACGGGGATGGAGGGTTGGTTCCGAGGCAGAGGGCAGATTATTGGCCCTCACCTGTATCAATTGTATCACTATCCACCACAGAGGCTTGCAGGGCCTCTTTGTCAAACCCCTCAAAGTCCATATAAGACCATATCCTCACTATCACTGACTTGGGCTAGCTGTGGTGGGTGGCGGGTGAAGAACTCTGTAATGTTTTGATGACTGGGCGACCTTGTGCGCACCCTGCCCGCGCCGCTTCCCGCGTATATGAGTAGATGCACTGCGTAAAGTGGGAATCCGGTTCTGGCGGGGTACCGCGTAAACGTAGAAACGCGTAAACGAGAACCACGTAAAACGGGGTATTACTGTATACAGTGGTCCCTCGGTTAATGAGCACAATTCGTTCTAGAAGGTTGCACGTTAACCGAAAAACTCGTTAACCGAAACCATTGTTTCAATGGGTTTTTGGGTAATTGGTTCCAGCTCACCGAAAATTGCCTAAGTTCAACAAAAAAGGTAGAAAAGTACACATACTTTGAGGTGTGTATGACGAAGGCTCCTGGATGATGATGATGATGGGAATTAGAATGGGGGTGGAGGAGAAGGGAGAAGAGAAGGCATTGGGGTGGAAGAGAAGTCACCCCATGGTGCCATTTCACCCATAAAATTTTAGTTCACTTGGTGTAATTCAAGATTATTTTCTTTAAATCAACACTGCACTGCATTATATATTGTCAATATGTAAAATATATTTCAAAATGACCAATAATTTGCTTGGAAACACAGAAAAAAAGCGTTTAGTTGAAGAGAGTCTCAAGCAAGATGTTACCTCCAGTGAAAACAGAGAGAGACTAACTCCTGTTTGCTGTGTTAAGATGCTGGATGCCGAGCATTAAACTAGTCACTTTATCTTCAATTATGTTCAATAATTGTTAAAATGGCTAAAAAATTGAATATTAAACTTTTAAAATTATTGAATAGTATAAACTTCTTGATATTTACTAAAATAGTAAGGAATTTAAGCCCTAGAACCGATTAATGTATTGGCGGACTGATACTAAAGCTGGTTGCCCGGTCAATGCAAGCGAAAACATGTTGAGGTCGGTTCGTAAGAACTTCGTTAACCAAATTTTTTTTCGTTAACCGAATTGAAGATCCTTATGGAAGGCAGTTCGTTAATCGAAATTACGTTAACCAAGGTGTTCGTTAAAATATATATATATATATATATATATATATATATATATATATATATATATATATATATATATATATATATATATATATATATATATATATATATATATATATATATATATATATATATATATATATATATATATATATTCTTTGAAAATTTCCTAATGGGTAGTTCTAAATCTGTTCACAAAACAATGACTCCACAGTTGTCTCCTGCAACATCCATGAATACACAAAATTAATATCTTATTATTGAAGACAATAAGACATCAATAGAATGTTAATAAAAATTAAAATTCAGTTCTTTTCATAACTGATAATTCAATGGTCCCTCGGTTAACGAACGGTTCAATTAACGAAATTTCGGTAAACGAATTACCTCCCATAAGGATCTTCAATTCGGTTAACGAACAAAACTTTGATTAACGAAATCCTTACAACAAACACATTTTGTTGTGAGTGGGCAAGTCTGCCATTTCAGTAATCTGTTCTATGTTTACATTCGTTTACAGTGGAGTAAATATCAAGAAAGTTGTGCTCCTTAATATTTGTGCATTTTTTATATTAAAATTAATAGTCATTTTAAAATTTAGTTAACATATTGATAATATATGCAGTACAGGGAACTAGTTTTTCGTGCGCCCATCAGCCGCTTGACTCACCCACCAGGCGTCAGTGTGGTTTTGTTTACAGTGGAGTGAACATCAATTTTGTTGGTGTCTTGAATATTTTTGCATTTTTACATTAAAATTATTGGTCATTCTGAAATTTAGTTAACATATTGATAATATATAGCGCAGTGCAATGTTGATTTAAAGAAAATAATCTTGAATTACACCTAGAGAACTTAAAATTTTATTGGTGAAATTACCCCATCAAGCATGGGTCCCCTGAAAGGTGATTTCTCCTCCACCCTCACTTCCTTCTCTTCTCCCTTCTCCTCCTCCACCCCCCACTTCTAATTAGAATCACCATCAACCAGGAACCTTCTACACACACACCTCAAAGTAAGTGTACTTCACTGCATTTTGTTGATACTTTGCATGTACTTTTCTGTGAGTTGGAACCAATTACCCAATATCCCATTGAAATAATGGATTCGGTTAACGAAATTTTCGGTTAACGAACGAGGGACCACTTTACATACATCCAAAGTATTAAGAACCAATTATTAGATAATGTAGCTATAGAAAAGGATGAAAAGAGAAAAGTCTGGATTTTTTTTTTTTTACACCATATTACAGTATACTGTACTGTGCTATAGTCTCTGCTGATAATCCTTAAGTTGTTATGTTAAGAGAAAAGATGCATTGATTAAACATGTGAAACAATATTAACACATCAGTTACAGGAACATTTACTGTGGCTTTCATTTTAGAAGGGGATAACAGTACTACATCTTAATGTTATCTAACCTCACTATTGCACAACATATGCAAGTAAAATTTCTGGTAATTAGGAGAACAGATTATGAGAATAGTTAAGATTTTTATTACCTTTTACTGACTGTGCTGTATCATACGTCCTCTCATACAAGGCAAACTTTTGTGGGTTGTCAACAACTTTAAATTTTCTGAGCAAGGCAATGATGACCTCTCTTGTGGTTGTTTTGCTGAAATATGAAGAAAATACAAAATATAATCCCTTGTTAGCACAATACTATACAGTAATCCCTTAATTTGGACATACAGTTGTGGTAAAAAGGTTTCATTTAAAACTGAATAATAAATAAGGTATAATAGGGTTAATATTGTGGGATCAGTCTCAAATGTCTGTAAGTTGAATTTACCATGTCACTGAAGCTGGATTGAAGCACGTAACTACAACACTAGTACTACATGTTCACTACAATGCAACACTAGTACTACATGTTCACTACAACACTAGTGCTACATGCTCACTACAACACTAATACGACATGTTCACTACAACACTAGTACTACATGTTCACTACAACTCAACACTAATACTTCATGTTCACTACAACACTAATACTACATGTTTACTACGAAACTAGTACTACATGTTCTCTACAACACTAGTACTTCATGTCCAAATTCCAAGTTAACTTTGAAATTTTCACAAATCTTTCTTTTTGATGTGCAGTCTACCAACATGTTTGTCCAAAAAAAAATCAAAATGGTTAATCAACACGTTGAAGTGTTTGGCGGCAACGTCAGTTTGCCCGAAAATAAACGGCGTCCAACCCACCTTTGGGTTGAATTGTATCAACCCAGAATGTGTGGGTTATACAATAAGAGAAAAATACTTTTGCATTGCCAGATTAAGAAGGATGGTTGGGTGTACATCGGTGACGGGCGGGTGGAAGGTTCGTACATTGTTCCGTCTGTAGCGGTTATCCCTCTGGAGGGCATAAGGACAAACGAATCTTCGGTGTCCTTTAAGTGGCGTAGAGCCAAAAGTACTATTTACAAAAACCGAATGAATATGTCTACTTTCCTTGCCCACGTCTGCACTGAGACTCCTCTTCGGGTTCCGGACAGGGGTAATAAACTCCATTCAACAATTTGTTTTGCTAAGCAAGGGAGCAAATCACTCTCCCTTGTTGTGGAGGAGAAGCAGGCGTTGGAACACAAGGTGGAGGAGAAATAGACGGTAGGACAAATAGATTACACGAGGGAGATCATTTTGTTTGAGGAGGATTACGTGATTTTCGATTTGCTTCGAGAAGACAAGTATGAAAAAATTGGGGGCTAATTTTTGTTCATAACCGCCGCCATGGTAATGATCTACGCCTTTTGGTTCTGGTTGGTGAAAGAGGAGGAGGAAGAGGAGAGGGAAGAGTAGACAAGGTGATGGAGGAGGGGGAGCCACATAAGGTGATGGAGGCCTTTGCGTTGTTATGTTCTACTTGGGTTTGGCTGCTAAAACAGGGTTAAAAGGCTTGGCCCAAAAATGTACAAAAAAATATATAAATAAAAGTTGTAAAATAGCAGTATATTTTATTTTATTACACCTATACAGTACAGTACCGGTATTCATCAGCTTCCACCTGTTCTATACATTTATAGTTATGGGATGTCAGGGCTATACTACAGCTTGTCACCTATGGACTGAGCCGGTGAGATGTCAGGCAATCACATCTACTAGTCACTTTGTACTAGCTGGTGTTCCCTCCAACTGGTACAGTCTCACCCAGAAGTTCGTTAACTCTCCCAGCCAGCTATTGCTGCACTGCCTGCTTCAGATGGATGAACTTGAGTCTGTTACTTCAAACCTTTAGATTCATTCATATCGGTTTCATGTTCTGGTTGGTACTGAGACAGTTTCAAACATCTGAAGCAGGCAGTGCGGTAATAGGTGGCTGGGAGAGTTAACCAACTTTTGGGTGAGACTGTACATCACCTTGTAACTCTTTGTAGTTACTTCGCATTTGTTTAATAGTATTAATGTTCTCATAAACGCTATTTGGCTTTTCTATTATTCTCCCAAAATATAGCCCACTCAATGGTTATTAATAACGAAGTAACCGATAATAGCAATCGTCTATTTACGTTAGAATGTATGAGGTGATTTACAGTGCTCCTTCAGCACGTCTGTTGTGTGTGTGAGCTACAGGGGTTAAGTCCTCTCAGGCACTTGGTGCTCACCTCTTCGTGGAGGACTTAGGAATGTCATCTAACACGTGAGAAGGTTGTGATAAGGTATGCTCAGTTGCTGATTATCTAGTAAATTCGGGAAGTGAACATTATACATTTGATACATGTCCCCCGGAGTGTGTCGAAGGTCCACGAGGTTAAGAAAAATCATACCTGGCGCTCGACTAATGATTACGTTCTGAGAGCTTCTTTGGGTGTAGGTGTGGAGGGGAGTAAGGAGGGTGAGGAAGGGTTTTGTGTTTAGCAGACTCCGTATCAGTTGTATGGAGCTGAAATTTTCTACAAAGTTGCACGTATATCGAGCAGTGGTCATCCCCACCCTGCTATATGACAGCGAGACATGGGTCACATACTGGAGGCACCTCAAGGCACTTGAAAACTTTCACCAATGTAGTCTACGTTCCATCAACTTTCACCAACGTAGTCTACGTTCCATCAACTTTCACCAACTTAGTCTACGTCCCATCCTCTGCCTTCGCTGGGAAGACAAGAGAGGAAATGCCAATATTCTTGCTGACACCAACTGTAGGAGCATCTAGACGATCGTTATCCATGAACAACTACGTTGGCTGGCCATGTTATCCGCATGGACGAGAGTAGACTGCCAAAGCAGCTTCCTTACAGTCACATAACGAATAGTAAACGCAACACTAGCGGGCAACTGAAAAGGTATAAGGATAGCCTTAAGACAAACCTGAATAAGTGCCAAATCGACTCCCTCACCTGGGAGACGATTGCTCCACACCGTAACGCTTGGAGGAGCTCCACACAAGAAGGTGTCAAATACTTTTGAGTCAGCCCTAATGCTTACCGAGGAAGACAAGCGCCAAAGCCAGAAAGATGCTTCCGCCGCTCCTCCTGCACTAAAAGTAGCCCTCCACTCTGCCGGTCCCGTATCGGCCTCTCTAGTCACCTCAGAGCTTACCAACGAAGGTGACATCCTCAATAACTCATATTATTTTATCATAGCTGGATGATTATCATACTCGATTCCGAGTGACAGCAAAGTAAAAGTAATAGTAGTAGCAGTAGTAGTGAGTGTGTGTGTGTGTGTGTGTGTGTGTGTGTGTGTGTGAATATCATTTTAGGTATTTTTTCCGATGGAGTTTCATTTGAGCGGTCAGGATCTTGTATGGCTTAATGACTTATCTCAAAAACCAAAACATTAAAACTCACGACGGCATTGAACTTAAAAAATATATATATATACATACAATATATATATATATATATATATATACATACAATATATATATATATATATATATATATATATATATATATATATATATATATATATATATATATATATATATATATATATATATATATATATATATATATATATATATATATATATATATATATATATATATATATATATATATACACAGTTAACCCTCACTTTACGCGGTTAATGTAACCCGGAGGGTCCCGCGTAAAGTGAGAAACGCGTAAAGTGAATAACATAACATATGGGATTAATTGAAATGGAGTCCGGGCCGATCCCCAAACTCCACTTTTTGACGACACACAACTATGTTGTAGTAAAAATATTATCTTAACTTTATGATGGTATGCACACACAATTAATAATTAAGAGAAATATCAATAATATTAGGTTTTTTAACACTTACATTAGTAGAAAAAATGGCTGGGCACACGGGGATGGGCGGTTGGTTCCGAGGCAGAGGGCAGATTATTGGCCCTCACCTGTATCAATTGTATCACTATCCACCACAGAGGCTTGCAGGGCCTCTTTGTCAAACTCCCCAAAGTCCATATCCTCACCATAATTATCACTATCACTGACTTGGGCCGGCTGTGGTGGGTGGCGGGTGAAGAACTGGTAATGTTTTGATGACTGGGCGACCTTGTGCGCACCATCTTCGCGCAGCTTACACAACATGGCGGATGGCGGGAGGTTTGGATCCAAAAATGGTGCGGCTCGCCAGCCGCTCTCCGCGTAAAGGGGTACACGCCGCAGAATGTGAGCATCCTGGGTTCCGGCAGGGCACCGCGTAAACGTGGAAACGCGGAATGTGGGACCGCGTAAAGTGAGGGTTAACTGTATATATATATATATATTTCACTTTTAGTCCATATAACACGCAGACTCTGAACATATAATCAACGACCTCACCAGCCAGGACTCGAACCCTGGACCTAATGCATGGGACCAGGGAACGCTACCGACCATACAACAAGAGCACTAAAAGCAGTTCTAGACTATGTGATATTGCACACAAAGCCTGTTCATCAAGCTGATGGTGCCGTGAACCTCTCATTGGGAATTGCCCATGCTGCTTATGTGGATGTCAGTTGCATTTTACCGAATCCAGCTGGTATGAAACACGAGGTACCATGTATACTTCATTTTTAGTCCATATAACACGCAAACTTTGAACATATAATCAACGACCTCACCAGCCAGCAAAGTATACTTTTTTAGCATTAAACTGCTATTATTTAATTGTCTAATCATCACTACATAAAACCTCATCCATCATCACTACATATAACACCATCCATCATCACTAAATATAACACCATCCATCATCACTACATATAACACCACCCATCATCACTACATATAACACCATCCATCATCATTACATATTACACCACCCATCATTACTACATATAACAACATCCATCATCACTACATATAACACCATCCATCATCATACATATACACCATCCATCATACACCACCCATCATTACTACATATAACAACATCCATCATCACTACATATAACAACATCCATCGTCACTACATATAACATCATCCATCATCACTACATATAACATCATCCATCATCACTACATATAACACCATCCATCATCACTACATATAACACCATCCATCATCACTACATATAACACCATCCATCATCATCACATACATATAACACCATCCCATCATCACTACATATAACACCATCCATCATCATTACATATTACACCACCCATCATTACTACATATAACACCATCCATCATCACTACATATAACACCATCCATCATCACTAAATATAACACCATCCATCATCACTACATATAACACCATCCATCATCACTACATATAACATCATCCATCATCACTACATATAACACCATCATTACCATATAACAACATCCATCATCACTACATAAACCTCATCCATCATCACTACATATAACACCATCCATCATCACTAAATATAACACCATCCATCATCACTACATATAACACCATACATCATCATTACATATAACATCATCCATCATCACTACATATAACACCATCCATCATCACTACATATAACACCATCCATCATCACTACATATAACACCATATCATCATCATCATCACATACATATCCATCATCACTACATATAACACCATCATCACTAAATCATCATCCATCATCACTACATATAACACCACCCATCATCACTACATATAACACCATCCATCATCATTACATATACACACCCATCATTACTACATAACAACATCCATCATCACCATATAACATCATCCATCATCACTACATATAACACCATCCATCATCACTAAATATAACACCATCCATCATCACTACATATAACACCACCCATCATCACTACATATAACACCATCCATCATCATTACATATTACACCACCCATCATTACTACATATAACAACATCCATCATCACTACATATTACACCATCCATCATCACTACATATAACACCATCCATCATCACTAAATATAACACCATCCATCATCACTACATATAACACCACCCATCATCACTACATATAACACCATCCATCATCATTACATATTACACCACCCATCATCACTACATATAACAACATCCATCATCACTACATATAACATCATCCATCATCACTACATATAACATCATCCATCATCACTACATATAACACCATTCATCATCACTACATATAACACCATCCATCATCACTACATATAACAACATCCATCATCACTACTGTACATATAACAACATCCATCATCACTACATATAACATCATCCATCATCACTACATATAACAACATCCATCATCATTACACATCGGTAAAGTGGTTTCCGAGATTCTCGTGCGGACACACACACAAATATACAAACAGACTTCTTTGTTTTATATATGGAAAATGGCCATAAAGTATATATATAAATATATATATATATATATATATATATATATATATATGTATGTATGTATGTATGTATGTATGTATGTATGTATGTATGTATGTATGTATGTATGTATGTATGTATGTATGTATGTATGTATGTATGTATGTATGTATGTATGTATGTATGTATGTATGTATGTATGTATGTATGTATGTATGTATGTATGTATGTATGTATGTATGTATGTATGTATGTATGTATGTATGTATGTATGTATGTATGTATGTATGTATGTATGTATGTATGTATGTATGTATGTATGTATGTATGTATGTATGTATGTATATGTATGTATGTATGTATGTATGTATGTATGTATGTATGTATATATATGTATATATATATATATATATATATATATATATATATATATATATATATATATATATATATATATATACATATATATGCATGCTTTATGGCCATTTTCCATGCTTGAGTAGGTTAGTAATACAGTAATTAGCTGAAGCCAACAAAAAAATTGAGGTAAGTTACACAGCTGGATGCCCTCCCTATCATCAATCCAATTTTACAGAATGGAAATTGGGTACAGTATAGTATGCAGTATACACGAAATCCAAGCATCCACCTAGATCGCAAGGCAGGGTCACTTTTTCTGAGACAAGGTTATGGTATGCAATTTAAATGTTTGGGGATATAAAGGTAAAAATAAAGGTAAATGATGAATTCTGACTACAAGTATGAACTTTTGGGGACACCCTGTTCAATAGTCAACTAATATTAAACTTCAGGCTACTGTGTATACAGCAAGTAGATAATAACTTAAAATGCCCAAGAATTTTTTTTAATATTTAGTACTGTACTGAATAAATCATAGTACTGTACTGTATTTAAATATTTTACCTTGTTATATGGATAGCTTTCACTGCATCTCTGGGCATATAAAATGATGTTAGGGTTTTCTCCATCGTTCTGTCTTCTTGAAGGATATCATAGATAGAAGGGGGTCTTGTGCCTGCCACAATATTGATAGGACGGGTGAGATTAAGATGGACACGGATACATCCCCGGAAACTGCCATCATCTTCCTGTGAAAAAGAAAAAAGAAAAAAATTAAACACAATACATAAAAAATAAATAAATAAATAAAAAATGCTCAGAGGAAGGTTAAAATTCAGCACAGATTTATCATCAAATACCTTGTAAATAAAGTACTGAAGGACTGCCTGTACTGGAATTTTAAAATTTTGTAGGAAAGACACTGAAGGAATACAGTGCAGTGCAGTACAGTACAGTACAGTACACACACACACACAAACAAATACTGTATATATATCATGTAGATCCACAATGGATATGTGGACAAGATAAATCTTGATAAATCCAAACAGGAAAATGGAAACAATGGAGCACCTTAGCTTTACTGAATTTACAGGGACAGAGAGAGGCTTATATATAAAGGGTGACCTACATTATATCAGGTCAGGTCAATAACATTGGATCCACTAATCAACACATCACCTTCACCGTTCACGAAAGAAGAACTTATAAAAAATGCAACGTAACAAGTAAGGTCAAGTCAAAAACTTGAGACCCACTAATCATCTACCCTATATCTACCTCAAATGCTTTCAAGGCAATTTTAACCTTGGGCCACTTACAAATAAATTTATGAACCATTATCAGTTTTGTACTGACCCTCACTAAAGTTTATAGAATTCATTTCCCTAATCAGACTTGTTTCAACCAGAAGTCTTTCTGTGACACATGTTGATTTAAACACTTCTATACTGTTTTCCCAATCCATGGGATGATTATTGATTCTTATATGAACAGAAAGTGCACAGCTTTCAGATGATGTTCCAATATTATAATAATGTTGTTTTATTCTAAGTTGTAATGCTTTCCCAGTCTGACTGACATGATTTCCATTACAATTGCTACATGGAATATAGTAAACACTTCCATTTACATTCAAGGTTGGGCTGTTCTTAACTAACATACTAGTAATAGTTGAGTCATACTTAAAAACAACATCAATATTTAGTAATTTAAGAGATTGAACTAACGGGACAAATTCATTGTGATAAAGTAGAGTAAAAACATTCTTAAATGTAGGAACTTGTCTAGTATGCGATTAACCTTTCTGTGTTCCATACAGCACTGACCACATTGTGTTCACAGAAGAGGGTATTAGAAATAAACTGTCAAAGCTAAAGGTCCATAAGAGTCCCGGCCCAGACATGGTGCATCCCAGACTGCTAAGAGAGTAGTGCAACGTGCTTGTCAAGCCCCTGAAGAGCCTCTTTTGTAAATGCCTGGATGAACTAAAGGTCCCCAGTGAATGGAAAGTGGCCTATGTGAGTCCTATCTTCAAAAAGAGGTGATCGTCACTCCACGAACAACTATAGACCGGTGAGCCTGACCAGCATAATATGTAAAGTACATGAGAGTGTTATCAGAGATGCCGCGATGGAACATCTACTACGAAACAACCTTGCAAAGGATTGCCAACACTGTTTTATGCCGGGGCGCTCCTGCTTAACACAATTGCTCAAGGTATTGGATATTTGGACCCATATTCTGGAACGGGGTGGTAATATCGACAATATATACCTAGATTTTGCCAAGGCTTTCGACAGTGTACCCCACGAAAAGCTGAAAATCAAACTGGAAGGGTACGGAATTTGGGGAAATGTCCTAGAGTGGATAAAAACCTTTCTACATGACCGCAAGCAGTGTGTGGTGATTAATGGCACGAAATCATCATCCGTACCTGTCACAAGCGGAGTACCACAGGGCAGTGTATTGGGCCTGCTGTTGTTTGTTTGTTTGTTTCATAAATGACATGCCTGACGTTGTACACTCCTCCATACAAATGTTTGCCGATGACGCCAAGTTATTTCAGGAAATCAAGAACCAAGCGGACTGTGAAGAGCTGCAGAAGGACCTCTGTGGGTTCCAAGAATGGTCGAAGAAATGGCTGCCGAGATTCAATGTCACGAAGTGTAAGAGGATGCACCTGGGGCGTACCAACGGTAAGGAGGCGTATCATATGTCCCAACGGGATAAAGAAACTGCACTATTTGAGACTGAATGTGAGAAGGACCTAAGTGTGTATGTTGACAATGAGCTGAAGTTCTCGGGCCATTGCGAGAAGAAGGTAAATCAGGCATATAAATTATTGGGTCTTATAAGAAGGTCGTTCAGATATCTAGACGGTCCATCCCTCATAACAATCTTCAACAGTGAGGTGCTTCCCCATCTGGAGTACTGTCACCCCGTCTAGTCCCCAAGATATGCTAGGGACTGTCAGTTGATTGAAAATGTTCAAAGGAGGGCCACCAGACTGGTGCCTGCACTTCGGTACCTCAACTACCCTGAGAGATTGGTGCGCCTGAACTTGCCTAGCTTATCCTACAGACGGGCAAGGGGCGACCTAATTGAGGTGTATAAGCATCTCAAGGGGCACTACTCAGTTGAGTGTCCTTACTTGGAGCTGGCAGGCGCTCGCTCCAAGAGGGTCACAACTGAAGATTGAAGAAGCCACAGGTCCAGAAAACTGTGTGGGCAAACTATATCGGAGTGAGAGTTGTGAACTCTTGGAACAATCTACCCGAGATTGTTGTGACGGCACCAAGTGTGAGCTCTTTCAAGACCAGACTTGACCAACACTGGAGCAGTTTCAGGTACATTCAGGAGCTGGTGCATGCCCAGTACTTGCCAACAGTGCATAACAGAGACGTGACCGATCGCCCAAGCGGCTAAAGAGCCGATCATTTGGTGAAGAGGATAAAAGAAAAAGAAAAGTGACAGAAACGTGACCAATCGCCCAAGCGGCTAACAAGCTGATCAGTAGTGAAGAGGATAAAACATGAGTACTGTACAATAAAGGGATTTTTTAGCCCTTTTAAGCCAGCAATCAACAAACAATGAAGGGTAGCCAAGTTCTTGTGCAATGAACTGAATATGTTGCAGTTCTTCTTCAATAAATACAGAGTCACAAATTTGCAAACATCTCAAAAACATAGCAAATAAAACTGAGATTTTGGTAGACTCATGGTGACTCGATAAAATATGTATGAAACTGTCTACCTGTGTAGGATTTCTGTACACCTTAAATTTATAATTGTGATCACTTCTCATTAAAAGCATATCAAGAAATGGAAGGGATCCATTTGTTTCTCTTTCATTTTGAAGGTTGTCCAAAAAATTCCAGTGGGTCCCTGTTTCGAGGCAATAGACAAATAACATCAACTACACATCTATACCATGAAGGAATAAAATCACCAATGTTGGGTAGTAATTTAGCTGCAAAAAACTCCATGTACATACAGGCTAAAGGAGCAGAAAGACCTGATGTTATGTAGGTCACTATATATATATATATATATATATATATATATATATATATATATATATATATATATATATATATATATATATATATATATATATATATATATATATATATATATATACATACATACATACATACATACATACATACATACATACATACATACATACATACATACATACATACATACATACATACATACATATATATATATATATATATATATATATATATATATATATATATATATATATATATATATATATATATATATATATATATATATATATATATATATATATATATATATATATATATATATATATATATATATATATATATATATACAGTCAACCCTTGCTTTACGCGGTCCCACATACCACGTTTCCACGTTTACGCGGTACCCTGCCGAAACCGGAATGCTCACATTCCGCAGTGCGTGTACCCCTTTACGCAGAGAGCGGCTGGCGGTCCTCTCACACCGCGCAATTTTTGGATCCAAACCTCCCGCCATCCGCCATGTTGTGTAAGCGGCGCGAGTAGGTTGCGCAGTGTGTGTCTCTGTTGCATTATCAGTGACGTCATATGACGTATCGGACTGTAATTGGGCCATGCATCCTTACCTCCCTCCGCTGCTAGCTGTGATTGGTTTAAAGTAATATGACGTGTCCACCTGCGGGAGGGAGGGAGGAAAGGCGACGCTTGACCTAGCCGCGGCAGTTTCATCCCTCCAGGCCACCGTGTAAACGTGCATCCATTGTTCTGTAAAATGGCTTCCGCCAGACAACCGCCCCCAGAGAGAAACCTTTCCTTACCTTACCAATAGAGACTGGCCTGACCCCCAAACTCCACTTTTTCCGACATAATACCTATGTTGTAGTAAAAATAACATCATAACTTTACGCGTTCCTCACTTTCCGCGGGACCCTGCGGGTTACATTAACCGCGTAAAGTGAGGGTTGACTGTATATGTATATGTATATATATATATATATATATATATATATATATATATATATATATATATATATATATATATATATATATATATATATATATATATATATATATATATATATATATATATATATATATTATAATTGTGTGTGTATATTTTATAAAATTAAAATGGTTGGTTGGTAAAATGTGAATTTGAAACTCTTGGTTTCAAAATTGCTGTTATGTAGAAATTATATAGCTCAAAATTTTCTTTACTGAAAAACTAATTTCCATCAGAGGTATTAAAAATTAAAATTATCCACCATGATTCCTCTAGACATTTAAAAAAAAATCAAAATTTATTCATTTCATAGCCAGTGGAATAGTACAGGTTGTACCTCTCTAGTCCGGCAACCTCGGGACCTGACCGGTGCCGGACCATGGAAATTCACCCTTTTCCTGGATAGATAGTAACTTGTGCTTATGCTTGGAAGCACTAGCACCACTTTCTCTGCATCATGGTCTCTTTGAAGACATATTGAAGGGTTTAATGTCGTATAGTAGCTTCTCAAATTTCGCGAGTTTTTAATTCTTAACGTATTTTATTGGAACACACAAAAAAATAAATAAATAAAAATTTTGACGGCGGAAACTTGAATTTCGACGGGTTTGAACGACCCGCCAACGTGCAGACGACGTGCATAATCGTGTAAACAGCGTCATTTCTCTTATGTACAAAAGATTCATTATCGTTTATTACTACACTGTACAGTACTGTACGTATATTAA